AGTTTTGATCAATTTTAATGAGTATATTTATGAGAGTGATTTTGCAATTAAGATAGATCATTTAAATTATCAGCAAAGACAAGTGATTGAAAGTATAGTAGATAAGTATAAGCAAGTTTTTGCAAAAGACAAGTATGATGTGGGGATGGTAAAAAAATACGAGGCTCATATAGACTTACAAGTTGATAAATTTTGCAGTAAGCGACCGTATAGGTGTAGCATCGAACATAGAAAAGAAATAGAGATGCAAATTTCAAAGCTGCTTGAAAAGAATTTAATAGAAGAGTCATATAGCCCGTTTGCTGCGCCAGTGACATTAGTATTTAAAAAAGAAGACAATAAAAGATCAAGGATGTGTATTGATTTTAGAGAGCTGAATAAGATCGTAGTACCGCAGGCGCAACCGTTCCCATTGATTCAGGACTTGGTAGTCAAGGTTAGAAATTGTAAATATTTTACGTCTCTGGATATTAATTCGGCTTTTTGGGCCATCCCGTTACGTGTCAAGGATAGATATACAACAGGATTTGTCACACAAGAAGGGCATTTCCAGTGGATGGTTCTGCCATTTGGAGTAAAGACCGCGTCTGCAATTTTCCAGAGGATTCTTAGTAGTATCCTAAGAAAATATAATTTAACAGATTTTGCAGTAAATTATATTGATGACGTTTTGATATTTTCTAAATCATTTGATGAGCACGCTAAACATATTTCAATGGTGTTTGAAGCAATCATTACAGAGGGATTTAGAGTAAAATTCACAAAGTGTGATTTTGCAAATAAATCGGTCAAGTATTTGGGACATATTATAGGATTCAATACAGTAAGGCCTCTAAAAGATAATTTAGTTTCAATAAGAGAATTTCCTACACCGAAGAATCAAAAAAATGTTCGGCAATTTGTAGGTAAAATAAATTTTTATCATGAATATATTCCGAAGATAACAACAATTTTGGAGCCGTTACACAAGTTATTAAGAAAAAATGAACCCTTTGTATGGTCTGCTGAGTGCGAGGAGGCGTTTGAGAAGATAAAAGGATTACTTTGTTCTCAGCCAGTGTTGGAAATATTTGATAGAGAATTACCTATAATAATCTACACTGATGCGAGTCTAGTAGGAATTGGTGCGGTGTTAAAGCAAATCCAACTTAATGGTGAAGAAAAAACTGTGGCATTTTTTTCAAAAAAATTGAATGAAAGTCAGAAAAAGAAAAAAGCTGTATTTTTAGAGTGTCTGGCAATTAAAGAAGCAACAGCATTTTGGAAATATTGGCTAATGGGAAAGTCTTTTATAATTTACACGGATCATAAACCTCTGGAGAAGTTGAATTTGAAGTCACGTATTGATGAAGAACTAGGAGAACTCACGTATTATATATCGCAATTTGATGTAGAAATAAAATATGCACCAGGAAAAAACAATATAGAAGCTGACTGTCTCAGTCGAAATCCGGTACTGGATGCAAGTGAGAAGTATAAGGAAATACTAGAAGTGGTGAATTCAGTGGAGTTGATAGATATTGTAAAAGATCAAGAGGAAAATGTTTTTTTAAGTGCTGAAAAAGGAGTAGTGAAGAGAAATAATATTTGTTATAAAAAAGGAAACAAAAGAGATAAAATTTTATAAACAGAAGAATTTAGTAAAAAATTAATAAAAAAAATACACGAAGATATGTGCCATATAGGCATTAAACAATTACAAATGAAGATAAGTCCAATATATACAGCTAAAAATCTTAGTAAAAATATAAAAAAAATATGCTACCAGTGGGCCAATTTTGAGAGTTAAAATAAAGTGACTAGATTTTGAAATTGATATCGCGAGTCATAATTAATTCACCATCGTGTTGTGAAGTTCCCAGATTCCTTCTTTTCAAAGAGTAGAGTAATTTTGCAGAATTGCACGGATTTTCGCGGAGTTCGCGACAAATTGAGATTTCCTCGGCCAAAATCGAAAGGTGAGTCACTGCTCGGCCGACATCGGTCCAACAGCTCGGCCCCAACTCGGCGGAAGGTCCAGAACCTCCTCGGAGAAGTCAGCGTGAGTACAAGAGGTCCCAAATAACAAAATTCTTGTCGACGGCATTTGAGCTGGGCCTTACCCGATAAGGCCAATTTGCACCGTCGCAAATATTTAAAAAAAAATTTATAAAGCATATTTTTATAAAATTTCCTTTTAGAAAATATATATTTTATAAAATAATTGATTTATGAAAAATGGCCTTATGAAAATTTTTTTAAAAAATGTACCCCAACCGACTGTCCGTACGAAACAAAATGCCAAATAAAATGCATTTTATACGTTCGCAATGACGAAGATGCGGTGCTTCTTGGTACCACTGATGGCTTTTTTGACAGTGCTCAATACTTTTTGATGGCATCGACTGTAGACCGATCTCTGCTTCTAGTTGAGCTTCATAAAAGCCAGCATGGGTTTTAGATAACATTTCAAAGAGGGAGGAAAGTATATCGATTCCACGAGGATAGTTTATAGATTCCACATGGAAAGATCATAGATTTCATGTAGATTTTTGCCAGTTTATCCATGAGGACATTCTTGGGCGATCCACGAGGATGTTTGGTCATTAAAAAAATTAAAAAAAGTTTCTCACGTGAGTAGGAATTGAGCCCGGGATCCTTCGGTTGTAAGGCTGGAACTCTACTGACTACGCTATTAATCAGTTATACCGATGATTGATTTTAAGTGAATAATAAGTAAAACAAATGCTAAGAACATAATTATTTCATTTTCAATGATAAACTGATTTCAACGAACTTATTTTATACACACTCGACGCCTCAGTTTTACTTTGTTTACCATTGGTTGCTTATTATTATTATTGACATCTCTGTAACTGCTTACATGTATTAGCTGTAGTTACGAACAAATCAGTCCTGAAGAGGCCGACAAAAGGGTCGGCGAAACGTCGACTAGGTGAGGAGAAGTGTACGATTGCGTACTTCCTCTCACCGCTTACTTTTTAATACATTAATAAATTAAAATAAATTTTGACTTTGGCACCGCCTTTATTGTCGTTTTATTTCTTGTTGACATATTTCATTTTTTTTGAACTTTATTCAAAATAAAGGTGCGAAAAGTACCTATTATAATAAAAATTTTCTAATAACATTTAAGGGGGGGGGGGGGGGGG